AATTATATCATGTTTAAAGACCCAATTTTTTTACCGTACGGTTACCCGAGGAGGGGGAGTGGTCTTAGTAACAGTGGTGTTATTTACCTGGAGACCCCCAATACCCAAGATGTCAAAAATCTATATACACGTAGCATTACACAGGAAGTCTGTGTCTGGTGATCAGTGTCAATATTCCGTGTTTCGTGTCTAAATTTGAGTGAAACTACTTGAAATAATTGAAATACTTCAATAAAAAAATTTTTATAAATACTTTCAGCGATATATAATGAAGAAAAAAAAATTATATACAGAAATATCGTTTTTATATTTTAAGAAAATGCCAAATTAAAGAAAAGAACACAGAGTAAAACTGCAAAGTAAACATATCTTTTTTTAATTAAACTTGTGTAAATATCAAACTTAAAAAAAAATAAAATATTCCATTCATAGGTAGGCCTATCCGTCGTGTGAACATATACAATGTACCATACCACGATAGGAATATTGCCTACGTTCTGATCAACAATAGTGTCGAAAATATTCACCATTTCCGGGTGTTCGTGTGTTTAAATTTTATTTTATTGTTTGCAAGATTTCTTTTATACTTTTAAGAATTGATCTTTGGCTGTATATATTCACTTTTTAATTTCGAATATTGGGTATTGACAGATGTTAGGAAATTCGAACTAAAAGCTACAATCTCGAAACTCCTAGCTGTTTCTGACATTTCAGAACTTTACAACGGAACATGGTATAGATTGTATTCATATATACGTAGATAAAACATGTGAAAAATGAATTTTTATCCATGTCGTTTGTGCTAAATATCTTTTCTTATTTATATTTCAATTTTAATCGGCAATTAGCGTTTCGGTCTAAATTCTTCAGAGCAGATATTTTGGATGACATATCGCCTAAAATACAATATAGCCGTTGAGATTAAAAGCAAATATTTTATAAAGTCATGTTTTAATTATCTACTCTCAATTGTTTTTAAAATAATTTCTTTTTTACCAATATTCTTTTTTTAACCCCTGTGTATACAAAGCGGCTACATGAAAGTGTTTGACGCGTGACCAGGCAATCGTTTTCAGAAGACACAAACTCAGACTACCAGGTAGCACGGGTAGCTGGCCTGTCAATCAAATCAGAAGCTATTGTTTTTTTAATGATTGACAGGCGGTAAATTATTGATCTTGAATCAGGTAGATTTTGGGGGCGTTAACATAAAATTGGGTGTTTAAAGACCCAATTTTTTTACCGTACGGTTACCCGAGGAGGGGGAGTGGTCTTAGTAACAGTGGTGTTATTTACCTGGAGACCCCCAATACCCAAGATGTCAAAAATCTATATACACGTAGCATTACACAGGAAGTCTGTGTCTGGTGATCAGAGTCAACATTCCGTGTTTCATGTCTAAATTTGAGTGAAACTACTTGAAATAATTGAAATATTTCAATAAAAAAAATTAATAAATACTTTCAGCGATATATAATAAAGAAAAAAAAAATTATATACAGAAATATCGTTTTTATATTTTAAGAAAATGCCAAATTAAAGAAAAGAACACAGAGTAAAACTGCAAAGTAAACATATCTTTTTTTAATTAAACTTGTGTAAATATCAAACTTTTAAAAAAAGAAAAATAAAATATTCCATTCATAGGAGGCCTATCCGTCGTGTGAACATATACAATGTACCGTACCACGATAGGAATATTGCCTACGTTCTGATCAACAATAGTGTCGAAAATATTCACCATTTCCGGGTGTTCTTGTGTTTAAATTTTATTTTATTGTTTGCAAGATTTCTTTTATACTTTTAAGAATTGATCTTTGGCTGTATATATTCACTTTTTAATTTCGAATATTGGGTATTGACAGATGTTAGGAAATTCGAACTAAAAGCTACAATCTCGAAACTCCTAGCTGTTTCTGACATTTCAGAACTTTACAACGGAACATGGTATAGATTGTATTCATATATACGTAGATAAAACATGTGAAAAATGAATTTTTATCCATGTCGTTTGTGCTAAATATCTTTTCTTATTTATATTTCAATTTTAATCGGCAATTAGCGTTTCGGTCAGATATTTTGGATGACATATCGCCTAAAATACAATATAGCCATTGAGATTAAAAGCAAATATTTTATAAAGTCATGTTTTAATTATCTACTCTCAATTGTTTTTAAAATAATTTTTTTTTTACCAATATTCTTTTTTTAACCCCTGTGTATACAAAGCGGCTACATGAAAGTGTTTGACGCGTGACCAGGCAATCGTTTTCAGAAGACACAAACTCAGACTACCAGGTAGCACGGGTAGCTGGCCTGTCAATCAAATCAGAAGCTATTGTTTTTTTAATGATTGACAGGCGGTAAATTATTGATCTTGAATCAGGTAGATTTTGGGGGCGTTAACATAAAATTGGGTGTTTAAGCAACAATATATTGACACAAATTTCAAAGCTATTATGATAATCGTATTTGAAAATAATATCGATGAAATAATAATGAAACATTGAATCAAATGCTGTGTTGAATGGCTAGACAACGATGTGCACATTCAGCGAGCGTTACCCAAGGTACTCTAAGACAGGTGTGAAACCTCCAGGGCATGTCGTTTCCTGCTCTGGCACTGCTAATCCCTATACACAGGAAATGATCGTGCCTAATACTTTATACACAAAGAAACAGAATTCGTCAAAGAAAACGAAAGTATTTGATTTTTGCATTGAATATTTATTAAAAATTTCCATGTTATACCCCCTTCTTTAATTTAATTTCTTCCGTGAAGTTTATCATTATACAGTGTACATGCACATCCTATCTTATCTACTGAACATGAAAATCGAGAAATATTAAAATTAATGAGAAAGACATTGTTTACAAAAGTAATAAATGTTTATATGAAGGTGAAGAAGCGATATTTTTTCTTGATCTCTTGTATAAAGTTCACGTGCCCAAAATTAACTCTCGCCATCGAATGCCTTCCGGCTATTTGAAATGCCTGCACATTTTATATAAAAGAGGGAAATAAATTAAAGAAAAGTTTTCAAAATTTGGGAACAGAACATGAACGATGAGAAATAAAGAAGAAAAGATTTTTTTTCTTGATATCTTGGATAAAAAAAAAATTAAGTTCACGTGCCCACTACATGTAACTGCAGACTCTCGCCATCGAATGTTTTCCGGTAATTTGACACCTAAAGAAAAACGCCTGCACATTTAATATACAATAAAGCGAAATTAATTAAATTAAAGGTTCTAAATTTGGGCAAAGAATATAAACAATATTAAGATGTACATTTTTTCAAAGATGTACATTTTTTTTTCAAATGAATGCTGAAAATTAAATCATTTATCGAAACTCAAACAGTCTGAGTTCAGCATTTATTACAGTTCGCATATAATATGAAGATTGAAAAAAACTAATCAAAATTTTTAGTATTTAATTTTGTTTCTTGATAGACTCTAAATAACACAAAATAATTAATCAATTGCAATGTCGTAACCATTTAATAAAATTTTCTATTCAATTCAAAAGATTGATATGTAATTTTAGAAACAAAAATAAACCAATTTTTCTTTGTTTAAATTCTATTCATAGCAAAATAAATGGAAATACTTTTATAAATAAACAAACAGTGTCATTCTTTTTTTGTTACAGGGAAAATTCACAAATTAGAATTCGGAGAGATAACTCCCGTTTGTTTACGATACTAATTGTCAGTAATTGATCGATGATTTAACCGCGGCGGGGACAGGTAGGTGATGAATTTCCCGCGGAGGGAATGCGGTTTACCTGTTTCACCTGGCCAAATACCGCGTTGTGATTATACCGCGACGGGGCGCAGGAAATACGGGATCCGCGTTGCCTGTACTGTATAGCTACCCAGTTTATACCGTATAAAATGGGTAGCTATTAAATAATTAATTCATTGCTTAAATGAAAGTAAGTAGACCAAAACTTTTTAAAAAGTTGTCAAAACATATTTCTCACCTTTGCATGCTCCAGTTGAATGTTCTTTACAAGTTTGAGCTAAAAATAAAAGTGATGTGACCTTGACATACAAGAAAACAACGAAATGGTAGATACAACCTTTGTTTTTTGGCACTTATATAATGCAGTCTTTTCTTGCAGTTTAATTGTCATGTTTTAGCTATATAATCATAATTTTCATAAGTCTTCATAAATCATAAAGATAACATTTTCACAATGTCATCTTATACATGTAGATACTTTTCCGTGTCCAAATTGTTCACTAAGTTTCATGGTTACAAATTTGTACGCAAGTGAGTTAAGGCTATGTATGGAGGCTTATATGCAAAATATATAATTAAAACCCATAATTGCTCTACCTACTACACAGAAAATGTGAAGACTTATTTTCTAATACATCCTTGGTACCAACGACATGGGATAGCCAGTACACATTATGACATCATATTATGATGTCATCGACCTCTACTACACAAGTTTATGAGAAACATCAACAAAATCTCTTCGTCCAAAAGGCATACATTACTTTGTTTTACTGAAACAAGGTATAAAAGACACAGGATATTCCAAGGATTTAAGAGATTGCTGCACAAATGTCGACACTACAATTGTATAGTTAATATTCGTACAGTTTTAAGTTTAAATAGGGTAAAAATTAAAGTCCAGTGTAAGTTTCCTAAAATTTTTATCGATTAAGAAAGTGCATAGGATTTGTGCAGCAATTTTATTAGTTTTAAGAATGTTTTCCTTAATATTATACATTAATTTCAGGAAATAAAAAAATATGTAATACCGATTATTATAGGTATTATGTATTTTTCTTATTTCCTGAAATTTTTTGGTAAAATTGATAGGTACACGAACTCCTGTGGTATATGAAATAATTTATTATCTGTATCAGATAAATAAGCCCTTAGATCATGTAGATATAGTTTTTTCTGTTCATTCCTGTATATTTGAAGTTCAAAAGAAAAGCTCTGTCATTCTCTGATATTAACAAACACAGTCTATGTTTATTTCATGTACTGAATCACTTTAATTTCTCCTGAATCACATAATCCTACCCACAGCCTTCCCTCACTGTCCACACTCAATCCACTAGGTTTATCTAAACCACAATTGTCCACACATCCCAGGAACTGTCCATCCTGATCAAGGATGTGTAGACAGGCATTGTTATAATCTGCCACAATAATATGACTATTGGAGTCTGTCACTATATATCTAGGATTAAATGACTTCTCTCTCCTGGGTGGTGTACCATCGTATCGGAATCGGACTCTTCCTGTCTTGTCTACCACAACCATGATGTCAGCATTAAAATCAGTGACACAGATGTCTCCGTTGTTGTTCTCTGCCAAAGAAATTAGCATAGTGTATCCTTCTTTAAAGATTGTATTCCCATGTTCATCTTTATATATTTCCTGATTCATTGTTTTTCCTTGATAACATATTATTTTGTTTTGTTTGTTACTATTGACATTGACCAGTATGTCTCCTGACCTTGTACAGCACAGTCCCCATGGTCCCCAGCCCTGTGGTGGAGTGATCAGTACCTCTGACCTTCCTCTTCTGACAATGTTCACTGTTTTATTGAAATAATCACTGTATATCAGTTCTCCCTGCCTGGTCACAGAGATGGCACCAGGACAGAATGGGCATTGGGTGGTAATAGATTCCTGCACAGACCCATGTATGTCCACACGCCTTATAACTTTGTTATTACCACTAACCCAAGCTTCATCTGTTCCTACACAGACCACTCCCCATAAAGGGTAAACTTCAGTAGGAATGGTGGCTATCACTCTGGCTTTGTCTAATAACTCTCTCATAGACAAATGGAAGACTTCATCTGTCAGACTGGATAATGCTGACTGTGTTAATGCAGCCTTGTATTCACCTAATGATATGCTGAGTTCTCCCCCTTGGACTGCATTTGTTTTCAGTGAAGGAATTTCGACATCAATATCAGCAGGTATGTCTCTGTATTCCGTCAGTTTGGATTCGTAGTTGTTGACATCAGACACTTTGTTGGTCTTCAAGATTTCTTTTATTTGTGTAACAGTTTGCATCATATCTGGAATAAGATTTTTAAACTTGGATTGGTGAGATTTTAGAAAAGTGAGATGGTTTTCTCTCGTGGACTTGATCATTGAGTTAATTTTGTTGAAGATGTTATCCACTTCATGGTGCCATAATTGTCTGTGCTTTTCTGCTTCTCTTTCGAGTTCATTAAATTTAGCCATTGATGTGGAGATTTTGCCCGCTATATTGTCCATTTTCTTCTTGTACTTTGGAATAATAATGGATTCTATTTCTTGGTTTTCTTTTTCAATTTCACTTTTCTTTACATTAAAAATCTCTTGTATTTCCACAATCTTGTGTCCATTATGGGAACTGAAAATGCATTTCAGACAGACTTGGACATGACACTGTTGGCAGTGGGCCTCACATCTCTGGTTGGAGTGAACCTTACACTCAGGAAACACTGGCTGTATCTTCCTGTTGGTGAAATGAACAATGTCATGTGTTTGGGACTTGAATTTGTCCACATGTGTACTGACACAGTCCACACATAAACTGACTTGACAGTTGTTACAGAACTGCTGAGTAGGCTTAGGACAAAGGTCACAGGTGATGACCTCCTGAGCCCAGGAAGTTGGAGTGGCCATTGTCTTCTACTGGAACTGAAAATTTAATTTTAAAAAAAAATTGATAAAAGTTACTTAAGTGGTAGATGTATGAAACAACTTTTTGAAATGCCAACTCCATTTTCTTTACCGCTTTGTAGAATACTACTGTATACAGGGAAATTTTCGTCCCCGTTTTATTTTCGCCCCTTTCGCCCTTCCCTCACTTTGGCGAATTTAAAATGGTGCGAAATGAAATAATACAGTATAATTTCTTTAATAAAACTATGATTGGGCGAATTTAAAACGGGGCAAAATTGTTTGCAGGTGTGAAAGGGCGAAAATTAAACGGGGCGAAAATAACCCTGTATACAGTATATAATCCCTATTAACCACCCCTGCCCCTATAAGCGCCCCTCTAGGTCTTTTTAAATTGTCAGGAAATAAGGGCCCCCTTTACAGTGATAAAAATCATCAAGAATCGTATCAAAATCTGACAAAAATTGAAGAAAGTGAAAATGAAACTTGTCTATTATCCAATTTCCTGGTGAAAATGAATCATTTAGCATACTTTGGATGGATTATCTTCAAAATAAGTAAAGTTAGACATTCTTTTAGTGCTTCTTTGAATTTATTTTTTCTTTCAAAAGATTTTTTGGAAGTTAAAATATAACATTAAATATTAGAAAAAGGATACCAAAATAACCGCCCCCTTTTCACAATTTTCTAAGCGCCCGGGGCAGTTAATAGGGATTATAAGGTACTCGAAAAGGACTTTCTGTATAGATTAACATAGGAAATAATTTGAAAGGTAATTAAAACAATAATAAACGTAAGATGCTTAAGGAATATTTTAACATGATTTTTATAATGATAAACTGTTTGGAAAATCTGTATTGAATTACCTGTAAGTTTCAATCTTTAGACACTAACTAATTGGAAAGAATAAGCAATTCATCTCCCCACCCTAATATTCACCTGACTGGGAAGTACTTTCGGTTTAATATTTATACTTCCTGGTTACCTATCATCAAGTCATTGAGCATGTGCAGAGGCTGTTTGCTTGTCTTTGTAATCAGTGATCTATGTATGTCTTCTGATGCACAAATAGAACTATTGAGAAGTTTAAAAGGCAGTTATCAGAGTATTTTCTCGTTGTATACCTGATATGTGTTTCTCCCTAATTAACTAAAAAAAGTTTGACCATGTTGACATGAATACATGTATCTGATAGTATTTTAATACCTACTGACACCTACTTTAAAAAAGCTTTTAGGGTAATATTTATTAAATGAACTTGATATCAACTTGCAGACTTTTCACAGTCCATTTTATTTAATGTGTTTTAAATGATTACAAATTAGTACATTCTCTCTTTAGCCAACTGATTTAAAGCAATATTATCCAAATTTTATACTTGGTGTTCTTGCTTGGGCAGAATAACAACTTAGTACTTTTCAAAATATCCAACTGGATTGTGTTAAAATGGAGATGAAAATATCAGGAAGTTTTACCCTTTGGGATTTAAAATTTTTTTTTCTCCAAAAAATTCCATTTCCCATTGTAACTACATGGTGCACTCAGTGGTAATGACAGAGTACAATCTGATTTCAGGAGGTCACGATCAAGAAATCAATATGTACTCTTGTAAGATAAAAGAGATTTTTAAAACAAAAAAAAAACTAATATAATTCAACACAATCTATTTTTTCAGAGCATCACTGTGTACAACAAAAAGGGACAGAACTCCTTACGACGTTTATTTCACCTGAGCCGATTCTACCATCAGTACCAGTCCAAGTATACCATACTATCTAATCTAGTGGTCAATTACCTGAACGATCAACCAATGAAACGACAGGAAATCACAAAAACCAGACAGGACTGTGTAAGTATCTGTCATTTATCTGTTTGACCAATCTAATGGTTAATTATGTGAATGATTAAAGCAATATGAGCTGCATGTTGGACATCAGAAAAAAAAATTGTAAATTTATAATTAACTATTTCATTGACAGGAAAATAGAACATTTATAAACTTCTGTTGTTAATATTTGCAGTGGAAGAACTTTTTATAAGCTTCGGTTGAAGCAAAATTGAATTATTGTCGTCCTGTACAATAATGATTTCTTATATGATACTGTATATTCGGTTGTACAGAAATTTTTCTTCTGAAACATTTTAAAACTTTATTTTGGTCTTATTGATCTTACGGATTTAGATTACATACAGACAAATCATGATAACACATTTTATCAGCAAAATAAAATTCTCAAAAATGCAGCTCATTAGGGCTGTGTATTGAGCCAAAAATTTCGATACGATACGATACAATATTTTTTAAAGCGATATGCGATATATTGGATTCTAAGACAAGTCCATCAGAAAGGGCTTCTAATTAAATCATGTTAATGCATAAATTTCATAACAATTAAGTGTTTTATTACCCATTTTAAAGTTTTTGTCTCATTGTCTTTACAAATAACACTTCAAACTAAAACTTTTGATGACAGTAAAAGCAACTGTTCAAATAATTTTCTCTTTGTATTTTGTAATAATTTTAAAACTGTGTTATTTCCTTACAAATTATATCATTATTGATCAGTTTTAATTCAAAACAAGAGGCCCAGGGGCCACAGCGCTCACCTGAGCACATCGGGCTTGAATTTACTAACCCCCCCCTTCCAGGCGTTCATCATTTGAACAAACTAAAATCTACACTACCTGAGGATTATTCCACATAAATATCGCTAATCATAGCTTTGAAGTACTTGAAAAGAAGATTTTAAAAGGTTTCCCTATATATCCCTATGTAAACTTGGGTCAGCCATTTTGGCCCCACCCTATCCCCAGGGCCGGGGGTCATGATTTCAACAAACTTGAATCTACACTACCTGAGGATGATTCCACATGAGTTTCATCTTTCCTGGCCCAGTGGTTCTGGAGAAGAAGATTTTTAAAGATTTTTCCTATATATTCCTATGTAAAACTTGGGTCGGCCATTTTGGCCCCACCCTTGCCCCGGGGGTCATGATTTGAACAAACTTGAATCTACACTACCTGAGGATGATTCCACATGAGTTTCATCTTTCGTTGTCCAGTGGTTCTGGAGAAGAAGATTTTTAAAGATTTTTCCTATATATTCCTATGTAAAACTTGGGTCGGCCATTTTGGCCCCACCCTTGCCCCGGGGGTCATGATTTGAATAAACTTGAATCTACACTACCTGAGGATGATTCCATATGAGTTTTATCTTTCCTGGCCCAGTGGTTCTGGAGAAGAAGATTTTTAAAGATTTTTCCTATACATGTATATTCCTATGTAAAACTTGGGTCGGCCATTTTGGCCCCACCTTTGCCCCGGGGGTCATGATTTGAACAAACTTGAATCTACACTACCTGAGGATGATTCCACATGAGTTTCATCTTTCCTGGCCCAGTGGTTCTGGAGAAGAAGATTTTTAAAGATTTTTCCTATATATTCCTATGTAAAACTTGGGTCGGCCATTTTGGCCCCACCCTTGCCCCAGGGGTCATGATTTGAACAAACTTGAATCTACACTACCTGAGGATGATTCCATATGAGTTTCATCTTTCCTGGCCCAGTGGTTCTGGAGAAGATTTTTACTGTAAAGATTTTTCCTATATATTCCTATGTAAAACTTGGGTCGGCCATTTTGGCCCCACCCTTGCCCCGGGGGTCATGATTTGAACAAACTTGAATCTACACTACCTATGATTCCACATGAGTTTCATCTTTCCTGGCCCAATGGTTCTGGAGAAGAAGATTTTTTAAAAATGCCATTAATTTTTAACAAATTCATGATTATCTCCCCTTGGAAAAGGGCGTGGCCCTTCATTTGAACAAACTTGAATCCCCTTCACCCAAGGATACTTTGTGCCAAGTTTGGTTGAAATTGGCCCAGTGGTTCTGGAGAAGAAGATGAAAATGTGAAAAGTTTATGACGACGACAACAACGACTACAACGACGACAGACAACGGACAAATTTTGATCAGAAAAGCTCACTTGAGCCTTCGGTTCAGGTGAGCTAAAAAGTAAAATATAATCTCTGTTGATTGAAATTCCCTTCTTATTAACAGAATTAGAAGAAAAACTTTCTGTCCAATATGTATTGGAAGTTATTTTTCGATACGATATTTTTCTTGAATATCGATACGTATCGATATATTGATACAGCCCTACAGCTCATATTGCTTTAACCAATAAAACAGCAGGTACGAGGGGTGATCAAAAAGTTTGCGAACTATCTCTATATCTACATCAAAGTACTCAGAAGTACAGAGAGCCTGGCTCATTTACAGAGTAGAATGAATTTCTTACATGAATCACGTTTATATTCTGATGAAAAAATTATTTTAAAACTATCAATATAAATGATAAGACTCTGAAGTGAGTTTTTCAATCCTAATACCATGGTCCGAGTTTGTCAGAATCAGAATTAATCTGGTACCGCAGCTGAATGTAAACAGACAGCTCAGTCTGGTTCCCTCTCCTGCTTTACCTCGTATGTGTAGAGAACTACGATAACACTGATTATCAAAAATCCTTACGCTAATGAACTATGTTCTTTGACTTAGGACTGAAGTTTTCAAAGTCATTACTGCTAATGTTTATTTATATACAGTGGACCTTCAGATATCCGACGCCAGATATCCGGATGCTTCAGTATCCGGACGATTTCTCATCGGAACGAAATTTTTAAATGTTATTTTGTCTTGTTTAACTGGTGATTCAGATATCCGGATGCTTCACATAACCGGACAAATTGACTGGGAACCAAAGCGTCCGGATAAATGAGGGTCCACTGTAGATAAAACTTCGTTTTATTTTTGTTGCTTTAATTAGCAATTGTATTATCTCAAAAGCGAGTAAGAACTATATTTTTGCACGTAACTTTAAAATGGCGACTATGGGGTTAACTTCCTACCTTGAACAGGATCACATAAGCCGGCAATTGCTCTTTCAGCAATAAGCCCGGCTAAAAATCACAATTCAGACTAGAAAACAATTTGGTACACACATAGCCATACACAAGTTCTATAGATAGCATATGCTGAATAAAGTTTTGCTCCTTGTTTGTGGTGTCACAATGTGAAAATGACGTCACTATGTAGGACACTTGTGACGAAAAATGGCTGTCTCAGTCGTACTCATTTAAAAAACGACTGTAATATCCCTTGTAATATCCCCAAAATCCCTTGAAAGTAACGTATAATAATTTGTACATAGTTTATTAAGACAAATGACTTCCTATAAATTCAATCAATGATTGGATGGGTCGTTTTAATGAAGGAAGGCAGATGGTTAAAAATGATACTTGCTATGTTGCCCATTGAAAGCAAGTTTAAAAGGAGGTGTGTTTTTAATTAAGCAATTTGCTATCAAAGACGTCCAATTTACAATTTCAAACATAGTTGAATATTTTAACAATAATATAATTATTAAATACCTAAGATATCATTTACTTTAGATTTAAAACATATTAGATATGATAAGAAGAAAGCACCCATTCTCTATCCACCTTGAATAAACGTCTCTCCCGAGACAGAAGATTTGGGTTTTGATGGTCGCCATGCTTATTTTTGGAAAGGATATTCTTATCCACCCATTCTGTTGCCGAGATTTGACCATTTCTGACAAATGAACTGTTCTTGTAATAAAAATTAACTTACATGGAGAGAAATATAAAACTAAGAAAAATCTTTCAGCTTTTGTGACAGAACGCTACGGAGGGGGTCACGTGACAGCCTATATCACGTGATTCGTGCATGCGCAGAGCGGTGACAAATGTGCATTAAAATCGGAGAGGATTTATTAAATATAATAAACACTGAAACCAAATATTATTTCTGTTATGGAAGTTATTCAATTAGTACGCGAACTTTTTGATCACCCCTCGTAATCACAAAAGCCAGACAGGACTGTGTAAGTATCTGTCATTTATCCATTTGACCAACATAGTGGTCAGTTATGTGAATGATCAAGCAAACAAAAACAGCAAAAGATCTTTATATCAGTAGTATGCATTCCTACCTGGTCCAAGTGAAATCACTCATCTATACAGTAAAGCAAAGAGGTTTATTGTAAAACTTAACATTTTCAGTCTTGTGTTTGTCTCTCCAGCCATTAGATATAAACCCCATGAACTTTTTCCTTAAGCCATGAAAATTTTATCTTTTTAAAGCCAGTGATCTTTATAGTAGTTTTACCAAATTATTTTTTACTATTCTTATAATATATATATTGCAGGGTATAGATCAAAAGAGTTTTAAGAAGCTGTACCAAAGCTATCATAAGAGGTTCCATGTGTTTACTATTCCATATAATGAGATGTATCCAGACAGTCCCGAGAGTAACTGGTATACCAGGTTAGTATCTGGTAAAACTTGTTTAGTAGAAACATGGATATTGTGAATTCACAGATAGAGCAAAGTTATCTTGGATCCCCAGCTATACAAATTTAACAAATTGCTTATACAGATATAATGAGTTATGGGTAAAGCAAAGTAATTTCACAGGTCCCAGTGACTTGGCTATACTAATAACCAAGTTTTACTGTATCTGGTAAAAAAAGTGAGTTTCTGATTCTCAAAATAAGTACATGTATATGGAACAAAGTAACTGTTTGGTACACACATCTGAGATGCAAAGTGACTGTTTGGTACACAATGTTTGATATAAAAAGTAAGATTGTCATGTACAAAACAAGTTCTGGTTCAGAAAGAATTTAAAAAAAAAAAAAAAAAAAACTCTATATGGTAAAAAATTAAAGACAAAAGTCTAGAATTTAAAGTTGGTTCTTGCACTTTGAGATCAGTAAGGTAAATAAACTTTGAACATGATTTAAGTAAACATTTTTAAACTCGTGAATTACATTAATTCCAAAGAATAGTTTTAGTGATGAAAAAAAACATCTTATGAGAAATGTGGATTCAAAAATGATTTGGAAGATTTTATTGAAAGAGCATGAACAGATTGTAATTGAATGATGTTATGTTTAGAAATGCATATTTGAAATTTAAGTGTGATTGAGTTGATAGTACAGCTTTTTAATTGGAATGACTTTTTTTTTAGAAATGCGGATTTGAAAATGGTGCGTGTGATTGAGGTGTTAGAAGAAGAAAGTGATGAAGAAGAGGATGAGGATGGAAAGATAGAAGACATTAATGAAGGTTACTGGACTTTGATATTAATCAGATCGTTAAAAGGTTTATTAAGTTAGTGTGTGTGTTAAAGGAATATTGCATGGCATTGTTTTAAATTTTAAAAAATTGAAATTAAAAAAAAAATTACAGAAACAAGAATGAAAATGCAAACATTTACTATTTACCCTTGAATACAATCTCAAGCTGCAATGACTTGCTAACCAATTTGGATAAACACTAATGGGAGAGGGGTGAGGGGAAACATATATTGTCATAATCTTTTTTCAGCACATTTCTTGCAAGATATATCTAAACCTGTCTTTGCTGCTTCTATTTTAAAACAGATGAGACATATTTTCCGCAAGTCTATGAGAAATCTATCGTGCGACAAGCAATGGATTGTATGGAGGCCGCGGGGGCAGAGGGCGTGTCACAAGGTCAGATGATGAAGAGGCTGTCGATGGACAATCTAGAGACGCGGATGATCCTACGTACCCTGGGACGACGCGGCGTGGTCACCTCACTGATGACGGAGTCAGGAAAACAGAAGAAAAAAGTGTAAGTCATCAACAACTCATTTACACGTCCACTCTGTTTCATTGTGTAAAGATCAAAAAACAATATTCCATGCTTTTTGTATAGGTCAATACATTAAGTACTGTAAATCACTTAATTTTCATGTCACCATATTATTTTTGTGAGAGATAGTCATTGACTCTTGATAAACCAGACAAAATTTTCATGAATTGTAGTTACTGCTCTATATAATCCTAAGGTATACTATTATATGCAAGAATTAAATTTTCGCAAGCATACTGCCTCGTGTAAATACACAAAAATAAAGTTCTCCCGAATAAAAAGTGATTTACAGTAGTGATGGTTTCTTATTTAAAAGTCAAATAGAACTATAAATTGTAGTGAAACAGTGGGGAATTTTTTAAGTTTTGATTTAATTGACACAGATTTGGCATCGACAATTTTACTGGCGTAAAAATATGGAAGTACTTGCACAAATTCTGTGATACTTTTGGACTAGGCAGTGATCTTGAAACTTTTTATCTGTTTTTTTTTTTCAGGATGGTGTCTAGGTCTTTTGTCGGTGGAAACAAACTGATAACTCAGATTAATCAGGAAAAAGAGAAACTGAAACAGTCTCTCCAGGACATCAACAAGCAGGTCAAAGGTCGGTAGTTCTGTCCAAGGCCAAGCTTAAAAAATTCTTTGTTTGCAGTTGCCGACCTATAATTTTTAGTCTGGGTAGGTAGGTAGGCAATGTTTTTTTTAATTTTTTTTTTTTTAAATTTTCCAGATTTTTGTTAGATAACATAAAATACAGTTTTTATACATGAATAAGCTCCACTCTTGGTATAAACTAATGATTGATGAAGACAAAAATTGAATATGAAACACGTTTTAATATCCTGAAAATTGGAGAAAAAAAAATAATATTACAAAATGGCTAAAAAAATGTTTGGGTCGGGTGCATTTTCAGTGGGTCGGTCGGCAACTGCAAACAAACAATATTTTATTTTAGGCCCAATCATATACAACATCACAAGCAAAGGGGCATAACTCTGTATGAAAGAAAATAGAGACGATGGTTGGCAATTCTGTCAAGGGAAAAAATAACCAAAATAAATTGACATAACAAAGCTGTGTTACTCTCACAAACCTGACCTATCTAAGAATCATAAGCCTTACTTCTCTCAAAAAACAGTTAAAATACAAATGTGCATAAATTTAGCCACTTATACAATTAGAATTATAAAAGCCCTTTACTAATGATTGGACAATCAAAATAAAGATGTTTAATTCTCACAAACTTGAACAATTTTGACTCTTTACCCTTAAGCAATTATAAAAGGTACAACTCCTTCTTACAACTCCTTCATACTTGAACAAGCAAAATAATAAGGGTGTATAACTCTCATGGACTTGAACAATTGTATGGATGCTTAAAATTAATACTCCTGTGTTCTTTAAATCTTCACGGCTTACAAATATTTGTTTTCTATTACGGTAGAAGATCCAGAGAAATCTATAGAAGAAACTCAAACGGAAATGGAGGACAAAGCTTCTAAAAAGAAGGACAAAGAAAAAACACCCAAGAAAAGTGAAAAAGAGAAAATTGATGAAGAAGTTCAGGGCTTAGTTCTTAACATGAACACCCAGAATAGGAACTTCAGAAACCAAGTCTTATCGACATGCCATTTTGCACATGCCGAGAGTTCCGATAAATACTTCCGGGTCATAGGTCATTCGGGATAAAAACAACACGAGGAAGACTAAATGCTGTTGTGCTGACTGGTAATGTCGTAAGTATAACGGTTATTTTTCGTATTATACATGATCATCACATGAGTGGACATCATGAAAAAGTTAATGTGCATTTGTCTTTAGGCATACAATTTATGTACATGTCAGATTTTTCATTCCATAAAATATATCAAAAACAGTTCCTGTACATTTAGTACACATTACACAAGTTATAACACGTTTAGTAGACAGCAGGGGTTAGATCTAACAGTGAGTTGAATGTTTTTATTTCATAAATGCTCAATAAGTCTTATCGACATGCCATTTTGCACATGCCGAGAGTTCCGATGCAAATGCTGTTGTGCTGACTGCTAATTTCGTACTCCCATCACATTATAATCTTTAGGCATACAATAATGTTTATAACACGAAGGACAGTACTTAGATCTAACACTAACAGTCTAATGGGTGCATGTACTCCCTTATAATTAATGTAATGTGGGGTATTTTTAAGAAACATCTTGACAAGTAATTGAAACCAAAAACTAATGAGATAATTAAGTGCGCCCAGACCTAACAATTTGTGGAGCGATTGTTTTTGGGGTTTTGACGATTTTTTCATACTGTACACATGATGAATAAGTTTAATAAATATAATTTTTGAAAAAAAATGTCAAATAATCCCCGGGGTTGAATATGGGGGGTCCTGTCCATAAGTACCTGTGGTATAACGTTAGGAGTCAAAGTCAATCAGTTAAGAGAGAGAGAAAGAGCAGTGATAATACTATTGCTATTTTTATTCACATTCAGATGGTGAGTGTGGTCACTTGCCATCAAAAGTAAATTGAATTAAGTTCTCTACATTGAACATGTTAAACTAAAAGTACACTTAGCAGATTTCTAACCACAATTAAGTACTGTACAATAAAGTAATCTATTTTTGTCATGATAGCATTCCCTATCGACTGAAGGCTATATATAATATTATCAGGAAACATCTATGTATGTCCTCATATGTTAAGATCGGTCATTACCGAGTTATAATCTTTAAAGTTTTGAATTTTAGTTGAAAGAATGAGGATTTGTGCCATTAAAGACTGCACAAGCAGCACTTACCAACTCAAAAAATGGAAAAAGACATTTTGTGAAGTGCACCAATGCAACAGTGGTACAGGATGGTGTGTGTGCCCTCCCCCATTTGATCTGATACCCTTTCCAACAGAAAGAAAAGACCCCGAATTAAGGGCAAAATGGATTAAATTAGTTAATCGACAGTTGAAACCTGGGAAAAATTGGAAGCCTGATGATGACAGTAGAATATGTTCGAAACATTTTGAAGGAGGCAATCCTGTCCCAACATTAAACCTTGGGTATGAACTAACTATGCCTTTAAAACTCAGGCCTCCCCCAAAGGAAAGACAGCCATTAATACAAAAATCTAAGAAATCTTCAGAAACCAAGGTTAAAACTGATGAAAATGAAAATGTTGTCCATCTAACAGAAGATAATTCAGTTACGTGTACAGTTCCTTTACAATTTGAGCATGATTATTGTGCAAAATGTGTTTGTAATGCAAACTGTGAGTGTTTAGGGTGTTTAGAGAAATCTAAAATGATAAATAATCTTAGTTATCAGTTGGAAAGATTGCAAATGGTCACGACAAATGAAAGTAAACTCCATGGAAAGAAGAATGTGCACAAAAGGTTTACAAAAACAGATAAAAAAGTAAGAGCCAACACTGGCCTTCCGAATAAATCAACTCTTCTGAACTTATACAAATATTTAAAACCAAAATCCCATCGCCTGAGATATTGGGAGGGCTCTAAAAAAGTGATCAGTACCAAAGTACCTCGTCGTTTCAAGAAATCCCCAAAAAAGAGTGGTCCAGAGAAAAAACTTGGTGCACTTGATGAGCTTGTTTTAACATTAATGAAACTTAGACTAGATATTAACTTTGAATTTTTAGCCGATTTATTTGGAGTCTCTCAGGGTACATGTTCAAAGATTTTTAACACTTGGATAAAATTTCTGTCCAAAGAGTTAAGGCCTCTGATCTTCTGGCCAGACAAAGAAATTGTCAGAAAATTACTACCACCATCATTAATAAAACAGTACGCCAAACTTAGATGCACAATAGACTGCACTGAAGTTTTCATTGAAAAGCCGAGACATTTGGAACTACAAGCTCTCACGTGGTCCGATTATAAACAACATAATACAGTTAAAGTACTTATTGGAATAGCTCCTAATGGAGCTATTTCTTTCTTAAGTAAGTGTTATGGTGGAAGGATGTCGGACAGACAGATTGTCCGTGAATCATCTTTTCTTGACTTAATAGATCCTGGCGACATTATCTTAGCTGACAGAGGCTTTCCAATTCGAGAGGAACTTTTGCTCCGGTATGCAAATTTGGTTATTCCACCTCCAGGATCCGGCATTCAACAAATGACAAGAGAAAATGTAGAAAAAACAAAAAGTATTGCTAATGTACGTATCCATGTTGAAAGAGCCATCAACAGGATCAAGTGGTTTGCCATTTTGAAGAACACACTACCAATTACTCTGGTTCCTCTTGTAGATGACATTGTTTCTGTTTGTGCAAGTCTTTGTAACTTACTCAAACCTCTGGTTACAAGGTAGATCCGTACTGAAATGACTTCATCAACAGTGGTACTTTATTGAAAATACAAAATGATGAAAAATAGGAATGTAAATTTTTTTTCAAGTGATTTTTATTATTGATAGCAATGTGATTTAATTGCATGTCTAAACAGTTTTTGATCTTCAACTTTACAAATGAAATTCACTTGAGCATATACGTATGCAAATTTATACAATATAATGTATTAACAACAAATTTCATTAAAAAAGAAAAATAATGTAGATTTTTTCCTAAAAATAGAGACTAATACAATGGAAGTCATTAGAATTTTCTCATAAAATTTTTCTCTAAAAATAGTTTATACAATGGAAGTCATTAGCCATTTTCATATAATACATATATGTCTTTAAAATTTTATAATATATAAAATTACTAAAATTATCACATAAATTGATATATATATATATATATATCAATAAAATATGAAAGAAAACACTGTGTTTGTTTCCAAATTAAAATCCAAAAATACTCAAAGGAGATTGATGAACATAGCATGCATATAATGCAATGCCAAACTTATCACATAAATTGATTATATATATATCAATTTATAAAAATCATATTCAGTTTGTAAATTACATAAATAAAGTTTTCATTATTTATTTTGTGATCTTTGACCCCTTGGCCTTGACCTTCATGTTTGATTACTGTGAAATGACATATGATAGGGCATTCATGTTTAATAACAATATGCAATAAATATTAAATGGCATGTCACCCTCTTAAACACCAAAAGCAGGTTATTATTGTTATTTAATCACCTTTACGTTTGTCACCCTGTTGGAATTCTGCAAGGCTTGTTTACCTACATCCCTAGCTAACTAGTTTTTGTGCTAAATGTTTTGTAAAAAATTCTTTCACACAAGCTTTGATATCATCCCAGACCTCTTGATTCAGGTGCACGCGCTCCAAGAAATATCCCGCCTTTGTATAAACAAAGAAGTCACACCATTCTTTTCCCGTCACTCCAAGCTGGGTTTGTATTTGATAGTAATACGAGTGATTGCATTTGAGCTGGCTGCCCTGTTCACATTTTTCTAAATAATCAAGGTTTTGGTGGGAGGGATTGTCATTGGCTATTCTATATGGACACTTTATCTCCAAAACCCCCTCAGAAGATGAGGTAGAATCATATACAATACCATCAGGAGTAGCTCCTAAATAGATCATTTCCAAAAGGACAAATAAACCGCATTCATTCACCATGACATTAGCTTTGTTGACCGTTTTCATAACTTGGATGTACTTAAGTTTTGCCTCTGACTCCATGACCCTTCCATATTTTAAGGCTGGCAAATCTTCATTTGGTTTGGTAATGCCTGAAATACACAATTGCCATGTATGTATAACAGGTTTATACTGTATGACCTTGGTTGGTGCAGTTTGCACATTATTAAAAAAGATGTAAAATGTTACCTAAATTTGAGTATCTATTTAAAATTGTTCTTCATCATGTACGGGATAAAAAATAAGACAATTTCTTTTTTTAAAAAATCACTTTAAATTTTGTAATCAGATTCTGATGTTTTTGAAGCAAGTCTTACTGCAATAGTCAAGTACAAAAGTGTAACAGGTTAGGCCTAGATAAATAAATTGTGTGTTTCCAATTCCCCAACCAACCCTAGAATATATAGAGGATATCTATATTGTGCAATTTGATATTGGCTTTATCCAACGAGTTGAAATGCTGTATACATTTGCGAGGCTTGCCAAGCAAATATACACCATTTCAACGAGTTGGATAAAGCCAATATCAAATCACACAATATAGATGTTCTATATTTATCTCATACACTTAAATATTGTTTCAACAAAACTTTGAGACTTCCCCTGCGAAACTACATGAATGATTTCTAATTCAAATTGATGACGTGTAACTTGATAACATAGCACCGTTGATGTTGACATGCCTCGAAAAAAAGTAGATCATGTTCAAAATTTAGATTTTTTTTTGAGAGTAGTAAACATCACAATAGCCTGGTTCACGTCACAAAATTGATAATAATGTGATAACTTTACGTAAAAAATGAAAGTGAATTTAAGAACGGTGCCGAATTTGAAAGTTTATGTTTATTTCAAAGGTTTTGCTTGTTTTGGTATAATAAACAATTCATTGCATGAATGTTCGGGAAACATGAAGACTTATTCAGCCAAGAAATATCTTATTCCCCTTGGGCGAAGCCCTCGGGGAATATGATTTTTCTTGGCTGAATAAGTCTTCATATTTCCCTCACTATCAAGCAATAAATGTATAATATTGTTTTGGTAGGGAGCAAAATGTTTTTGATTTCTAAGGATATTTCTTGATAAATACCTAGGACACTTTTGATGAGATTAGTGGTATCAGTGTCTGGTTTTCTTTCAGCAGTATGCATTCTTGTCACCACTCTGTATACCAAAGAAGCTGTTATCCTTCCTTGTCGCTGTTCTTTCCACAGGGGTGATTGCCATTGTCCTCTGGTAGACTTTTCCAATGCTTCAGCTTGGTCTGGAGTAAATGTTGGCAATTTCTCTAGTAGCTCATCTACACTACTGCAATCTTTTGCTTTAGAAAAAAAGTTGATTTATTGCAGATTAATTTTTATTTCAGTTCAATTTTGCATATAATATTAAGTAAACTGATGTTAGGCCTGTCCTGTGAGAACTATGGCAAAAAGTCTAAACAACTAACTCAGACACACAATCTAACTAAAATAAGGGGGTTAGGTCCGCTCACATACTGGCTACACTTACATCCCATAGAGGGTCATGTCAGAGGTCAAATTTGGAATATCTCTAGACTTATTCGCTCAATAATTTACAATGATTTTACAGGCAATGATTTGATTGGTTGATAGAATTTGAACTCTGATGTGACCCTCAATGAGATGTTGTTAGATGTTAGTGTAGCAAGTATACGAGTGGATCTAATTTAACCCCCTATAAATTTCAATTAGATTGCTCAGAAACATAGATTTCCATTGCCACAACCTTCGGGCTTGATGGAATTTAATAAGTGACCGACCCATTATTTACATTTCAATAGATGTTTAAAAATACCTAAGACATTGTATATCTGTTTTAATTTATACCTTGTGAAGAAATGGAAGGAGGTATGAAAGCCCCTGTTTCACATTCAACAACTGTACCAACATTGACATCATCCTCTGGGGAGAAAGCTGGTGTAGATAGTGGAAGAGCATACTGGAAAGCACAGGAGGAAGGACAGCTGTCATATAGTGCATGCAACAAACTCTCTAAGTTCGGTGATTCCTTAGATCTTGATGGGTTGAATAAAGTTCTAACCATTGGATTTATTGTCTTCTTTTCACCTACAAATATAAGAAGTGGAATTATCTTTTTTTCAAATATAATTTCGTATTATAAGCAAAGTTTTATATTTTGTCAGGAGTGAACAGAATTAATAGCACATATTGACATCCTGGAGGCACGGTAGAATTCATCTGCTTAAAAGTCTGGTATCGAATATATAGTGAGCTGGCCCCATTCACAATATTGCTAAAAGCCAGTAAAAGGAACTTTACTAATAAAAGACAATTATTTTTGGGGCTCACAACTTTGGCAGGGCTGACAACTTTCACTAGCAAGCAGCCCTATTATATATGTCCAGCTGATTTTAGAGTGAGTTTCAAACACTATTATGAGCCTATATACATTATAAAAATATTGGGCCATTCATCAAGACCAAGCAGATTTGGTTGCAATTATTTATTGCATATTGTCATGGTCATCCTTCAAGGTCATGGGGTCAAATGTTCAAGGACTGTATATGCAACATGGTTGATTGGAATTAATTGTCACAAAGCTGTTTCATTTATTTATATTCAAGTTGAAGAACATTCAATATGCTCAGTTTTTATACATACCTTTCTTACTGTAATGTGGTTTGCGCCATTCTAACTCTGATATGGGTTTATGCTGGATGTTGTTTAGCAAAGATGGCACATTCCACTTGCAAGGTAAAGATGTACATGTTTTCTGTGTCATACCATGCTGCCATGCAAAATCCACTTTAAACAAGATAGCTGCTATATGGTTACATGTAGACCCTAAACTGAAAAAAAAATCCTGACTATAAGTCTTCTGAGCTCTACATGTACATTAATAATTTTAAAAGCCCCTCAGGTTCAATTTGTCAGAAATTTAATTTATAAAATCTCAAGTATCATGACAATACAAAAATGTTATGCTAAATATATTGATACATGTATTTATACATTTGAATGTTTTTACATGTACACAGTATTTGTCTTCCAATTTTTTTAAAAAATCAATATAGAATATAAATACAGTGATTGTTATGGAGGGCCAAGCGAAAAATAAAGGGTGAAATAAATAAAGATTGAACTACCCCTGGACATGAGTCTAGATATAAATCTACAATGTAAGCACAGGCACCTGACGTTACTTCTTTTTCTTAATTACTTAAATAAAAAAATATACCCTTACCTAATATTTATTATTAGTAGGGGTATATTTTTTATATTAAAGTGTCTGTGATTGTGCATGTAATCCCTATTATTTAAATATAAGCAAGGATCATGCATGTACTACATCAGGGACAGTGCGACCTATTATAGATCTACTAACTATTAGTACTTTTAAGGAATGGAGTGCTATTTGTACATCAACCCTTACGTATTCATGCATGTACAAATAAGTCATTGTATGCATTATATACCATTTACTTACCCAGCAAAACAGGTACAATAAGCTCTGCATATGTACCCCGTCTTTTTGTCCAAGCACACCCAAGCTGTGTGGAATGTTGAATTAATTTTCTGAGACGGGGTGCAGTATGCAGACAAAATGCAATATGGTGATTCTTTGCTAATTGGATGGTATTTAAGTTCTTTCAGAAACTTTGAATCGAAGTAACTATACGCCTTTCCTTCCTTGTAATCATTTAGAAGACGCTTTCTCAGATCACCGAAAGTGGAAGGTGCTGTAGTTGTCAAATATTCGGCGATATCGAAGTACATAGTGGGAGGCCACTGCGATATGCCATTCTGCTCCGACACCCACCCCGTCTTCAAGCATAGAGGGTCCGGTATATTGTGGTCGTTTACCTTTAACAAATCTAAGTAGTCTTGTTTGTTTTTAATTTTTTCCTCCACAGAATACTTTTTCGTTTCGATCTTCATCTGGCTTGCACCGAAGGCAAGTGCTACCAGCTCCACTTTCCTGCCTGTTGTCTTGAGGCCTCGATCGCGGAGATATTCTTTTAGCTCCGGAACCCTCCATCGTAAGAAATCATCATACGAAATCTCGCTAACGCCATCCATTTTATCCCGCTTGACCCTACCCAGAATTCTCATCGCGCCTGGGATCCCGAACTCGCTTATTCGGGTATTTTATCTACAACTAAGCTATATAATTTTATAGACATATGCATGCTTTTAAACAAGCTTTGAAATCCAGTAATTTCACAGTTTCAATGCCTTATCTAAAGCACGGCGCCATTGTGGCCCTTCAGGCCTTTGATTTTTATTATTATTGATATCTCTCTGCTCTTCATGGGTTGAGTATAGGAGGAGGAGTGAAAATTGTTACTCTTAGCAATTTAAGGGTCTAGCATATTAATGTTTTCTTGCTGGTTGGTGCAAGTTGAAAATTTTCTCTGGATAGTAAGTTATTGTGTTAATTAATCATGAAATTATGAAAGTAACAAAATGAAGAAACAATTGTCTAATAGCTTATTTGAAATAATTTAAGACATGTGATTTCATGCATTTTAATGAATATATTTTGTCTTTCAGTCAAAGCCACTTGTCGACAAATGAAACGAATCAATTACATCTTGGACTTCATCAGAGAAAACAAAATCATAGATGGTATTTTTCCGATCGTTAAGGTAAGTCTAAGTAACATACTATTGAGCATTATGGCTATTTCTCATGGGAACAGTAAAAATAAAAGAAAGATGCTAATCTCTATCAGAAAAAAAGAATCTAAGGCTCAGATACAACAGGGGAATTATGAAAACAAAAACAACAAAATATCATCTGATTTTAAGCATTTTCCTGTCATTGTTATTACTGGTGGGATCAATGTTAAGCATTAGGAATGGTTTCTATAGTAACCCCTCACAGATGGATGTGAAGCCAAATTTAGAGCAGCAATGTATTTCATCTTTAATGCAAGCTCCTTCTCCTAGCTTCATTTCCAACTAGACATATATTCCAAAAAAAATCATTCCGTGAAATAACATCCCATATGGAAAAAAATTGAGAAATCCTATAGATATTTTGATTATTTCTAAAATATCTAATGAATTTTACACATGTATATCCCAAGAAATTATGAATTCCAGAATAACATTTAGATTAAAATTACTGTCAACAAATCAAATAATAAGTTTCACTAGAATTGTGTACTTTTGTGATGTTTATTCAGATGATTCGGGATAATGAGCGAAATGAGAAGTTGGAGTTTATTGTTGACAAAAAGTCGGTGATTCGTCTCCTGTCTGTCCTGACCAAGGAACAGAAAGTCAACGTCGTCAACACAGTACTGGTGGACGGCAACAAGGAAAAAAAGGTCAGGCTTGATCAACAGTTATAACGGGGCTAAAGATCAACAGTTATAACGGGGCTAAAGATCAAGATATACTGCCCATGCCTATTTTGAAAGTTTTCAAATATTAACATGATACATGCATATACACATTAAAAAAGAGTGTTGTTTGTTAAATGATTACTAATTAGTTCTTTTCTTCCTGAGTTACACAGCATATTTTTTGATTTGTTAGTCCTAGCACCTATTAGAACCAAGATTGCATACAGTCATACCACGAAGTCAAAACGAAAAAAAAAATTTAAGCAATATGAGCTGTATGTTTGACATCGGAAAATTTTGTTGCAAATTTGTAATTAATTATTTGAATGACAGAAAAATAGAATATTTATAAATTTCTGTTGTTCATATTCGTGAGGGAAATATTTTTTTTTAGCTTTGATTGAAGCAAAATTGAATTATTGTCGTCCTGTACAATAATGATTTCTTGTATAATACTGTATATTCGGTTATACAGAAATATTTCTTCTGAAACATTTTTTAACTTTATTTTGTGCTTATTGGTCATAAGGGTTTAAATAACATACAAATCAATCATAAAAGCACATTTTACCAGCAAAATAAAATTCTAAAAAATGCAGGCCAAATTGCTTTAACAGAAAGACATACAGATGACAGGGGATCATTGTTTGTTACAACATTTGTAATAATTTACATACATGTATATATTAATAATTGATAGATGCAAATGTGGATGAGCAAGGAGGTAGAGCCGACAGACCCACTTGTGACATCCCTTATAGATCAGGCTAACATGAAGTTTCAGGCTGTCAACAGGGAACAGGTGGCCAAGAAAAATCCCAAATCCCGGGACCTCCCAGTAAGTATCCCAATTATCCTAGTAGAAAATCCTGGGACTTCGCAGTTAGTATCCCAATTATCTTCGTACCAAATCCCGGGACTTCCCAGTAAATATCCCAATTATCATAGTACCAAATCCTGGGACTTCTTAGTTAGTATTTAACTCATCTTAATACCAAATCCTGGGACTTCTCAATAAGAATCCCACTCATTGCAGTATTGTAGATTCCTAAATATACGCGTGGAACTAATTATCGCATAATTTTGTGAGATGTGCCAGACACGAAATAAAATTACTATATTTTTATGGTGCTGAAATCTATGTAAATTTCATGACCAACCATCCATTTTGGAATTATTATTCTCACGATCTGACATTGAATAGCCCATTTGTGATAATAAGTACTCACAAAAAATAAGGAATCTAAAGTATCCCAAACCCAGGGCTTCTCAGTACTTTTCATAAGACTCCCACATATATTTTTTCTTAATCAAATCCTGGGACTTCTAAGTCAGATCAATTCAAAAATCAAATAGAATGTGGCTCATGAATCCTTTAATTTTAGGAGGTACCAGAGACAGCAAAAGAAGGCATATATCAGATAATGTCACATCGCAGCAAGTTGAAAGCTGAGGATATGATTTATGATGTGGTGAGAGAATATGTGAAATAAACTGCCAAAATTGTTTTGAATTTCTTTCAATTTCTTCATAATAAATTAAAGCAGAAAATTAAGCTTTAAAGATTTTAAAATGTAGTAATTTAAAAAAAAATATCTCCACAGGCCTATTCGAAGCATTATGATTTCCGGCCTAAGTTCTCTCGAGCTCAGATTCTCCATAATCTGTTGTGGTACCTGGTGTACGACTATCCCAACACTGCAGCTTGTCCTTCAAACGCTGACCTTGCGAATGATCCGGGAGCTACCCCTATGAAGGCGGAAATCAGCAATCCAGACAGCAGTGTAGAGGGAGAGAAAGTGAGTTAGATATACTAATATATATGATAAATTTTGAGAATTATTTAAAAAAAAAATTAATATCAAACTTTTTAGTTTACTTTCAAGTGAATGTTCACAGTTGTGTTTTTGTTGTTGTATTTTAACGAGACCAAGTCTTATTCGAGTGCTGTAGACAGAACATCAAAAGAAACATACTAGCAGTCTAAACATTGCTATTTTTTTAGCTCTACTGGTCAGAGACCAGAAGAGCTTATGCGATAGTAATGCGTCCGTCGTCCGTCAGTCCGTCTGTCTGTCTGTCTGTCTGTCCGTCTGTCTGTCCGTCTGTCTGTAAACAATTTTTCAAAACGCTACTCCTCCTACAATTTTAGTCTGATTTCAATATAACTTGGCACACAAGTAGACTACACTAAGATACATAGAATAGTGCATGGGTTTTTGATTTCGATGAACGGTGTTGCCATGGTTACTATAAATAGAATTTTCTGTGAAATTCCTTAAAAACGCTACTCCTTCTACAGTTCTAGTTTGATTTCAAAATAAGTTGGCACACAAGTAGACTACACAAAGATACATAGAATAGTGCATCGGTTTTTAATTTCGATGAACGATGTTGCCATGGTTACTAAAAATAGAATTTTCTGTGAAATTCCTTTAAAACGCTACTCCTTCCACAGTTTTGGTCTGATTTCAATATAACTTGGCACACTAGTAGACTACACTAAGATACATAGAATAGTGCATCGGTTTTGATTTCGATGAACGGTGTTGCCATGGTTACTAAAAATAGAATTTTCTGTGAAATTCCTTTAAAACGCTACTCCTTCTACAGTTTTGGTCTGATTTCAATATAACTTGGCACACAAGTAGACTACACTAAGATACATAGAATAGTGCATCGGTTTTTAATTTCGATGAACGGTGTTGCCATGGTTACTATAAATATAATTTTCTGTGAAATTCCTTAAAAACGCTACTCCTTCTACAGTTCTAGTTTGATTTCAAAATAAGTTGGCACACAAGTAGACTACACAAAGATACATAGAATAGTGCATCGGTTTTTAATTTCGATGAACGATGTTGCCATGGTTACTAAAAATAGAATTTTCTGTGAAATTCCTTAAAAACGCTACTTCTTCTACAGTTTTGGTCTGATTTCAATATAACTTGGCACACAAGTAGACTACACTAAGATACATAGAATAGTGCATGGGTTTTTGATTTCGATGAACGATGTTGCCATGGTTACTAAAAATAGAATTTTCTGTGAAATTCTTTAAAAACGCTACTCCTTCTACAGTTTTGGTCTGATTTTGGTATAATTGGCACACAAGAAGACTATCCTAAGATACATAGAATAGCGCATCGGTTTCTGATTTCGATGAACGGTGTTACCATGGTTACTAAAAATAGAATTTTCTGTGAAATTCCTTAAAAACGCTACTCCTTCTACAGTTCTAGTTTGATTTCAAAATAAGTTGGCACACAAGTAGACTACACAAAGATACATAAAATAGTGCAATGGTTTTTGATAAGTACATACCAGTAGAGCTACAGTCTCGACAGAGACTTCTGGTTTTACCAAATAATTCATTTGCCTTGATAATTCATCTGCACCAATGTACAGTTATATTGCAATATGGCAATTTTAAATTCAGAGGTATTGGGCATTGAAAAAATAAACTTTGTAATTAATTCCTAGACCAATCCAGATGGTCAACTTTTTTTCAAATTTCACACAGTTTGTAACTTTTTACAATAAATTTCATGTACTTGGCTAAAAAAGAAATTGCTAGGGCAGAAATATAAAAAATAATCGAAAAATGTGATAAATTAATTTGATGCTTTTCTAACAAATTCCCACAGGGTTCCATAGTAAAATTTGACAACTTTTGAGTAGACCCCTAAGAAATCAGGATGATAAACACTTGAATTTCTAATCTTAAAGACCCAATTTTTTTACCGTACGGTTACCTGAGGAGGGGGAGTGGTCCAAGTTACAGTGGTGTTATTTACCTGGAGACCCCAAATACCCAAGATGTCAAAAATCTACCGGGTATATACACGTAGCATTACACATGAAGTCTGTGTCTGGTGATCAGGGTCAACATTCCGTGTTTCGTGTCTAAATTTGAGTGAAACTACTTAAATTAATTGAAATATTTCAATATCATAAAATTTTATTTATCTATACTTTCAGCGATATCTAATGAAGAAAAAAAAGTTAAAAAGAAATATCGGTTTTATATTTTAAAAAAATGTAAAATTAAAGAAATGAACAAAGGGTAAAACTAAAAAGTATACATCTTTTTTAATTAAACTTGTGTACATATCTAAATTAAAAAATAATAAAATATTCCATTCATAGGCCTGTCCGTCATGTGAACATATACATTTGCATGTACCACAATATAGGAATATTGCCTACATTCTGACCATTAATAGTGTCGAAAATATTCACCATTTCTGGGTGTTCGTGTTTTTAAAATTTTTTATTGTTTGCAAGATTTCTTTTATACTTTTAAGAATTGATCTTTGGTTTTATATATTCACTTTTTAAATATTGGGTATTGACAGACGTAAGGAAATTCGAACTAAAAGTTACAACTGACATTTCATTTACAACGGAACACGGTGTAGATTGTATTTCTATATACATAGATAAAACACGGGATAAAGGAATT